TCCTTCAGCCTCCTCTGTCCTCGTCCTTCAGCCTCATCCTGTATCCTCTGCAACAAATGAACAAAAACATCACGCGTAGAATGATTGTAATTTAACTATCCTCATGTCTCTTCTATTAGTTGTCTTGTTTCAAATTTGGTTAAATCAGTTTTCAAAGATACCGAATAAATGACGCACAACAAAAACATATAATATCTGATTGCTGGATGGAAAGCAGCCGTTAAAACACACAAAATGTAGTTTCAATGACAACGTGGTTCAAAATATGATGTGACACACTGTCAGGCCATCAGGTTCCCTCAATGGGACGAATCTTTAAAGAAAATGAAGTAAAGATTGAAACTGAGAGGTATTTAGTGTGTTGGTGATTGAACAGTTTGTTTGTCTCAGTCAAAGATCTCAGGAATGTCAGCAGGTTTATCTCGTTTATTCCACTTGACTTATGAAGTGATTCACAGTGTGTTTCAGAGTCTCCTCGCTGTGTTCGACTCCCGGTGACGACTGCAGATTACTGGATATGATGTTGGACAGAATGAGTTTCACTTTGAGAACAAATGTCAAGTCAGCATTTATCTCCTGCTGAGGTGAAACGAGTGCCCTTGACATTTGAAAGCTCTTTTTCTTCTTCTCTCGACAAATATAAAATATGACATTCATTATGCAACTTTTATCACAAAGATCACCTTTATTTCAGACAGGATATTGTGTCACACCACTATTATACTTGATCATATTCAAGTAAGAAGGTTATGAAAAACAACTAAACATCTTATCGTCATTATGCAGACGACACACAGATTTATATCAAGATATCAGCAGGCCAAAATATATATATATATATATAGTGCTGATTTACTGGGTCTCCAGCAGTGATTGGTTACACTTGTATTTAGATCTGTCCACTTGTGATCCGATCGCCAAAGATTCACAATGATGAAGATGTAAACAGGGTGAAGTCACCTCCCAGTGTCTTCACCTCCCTTCAGCTCTGCTGCACTGTTGTCTTCGTCCTGCTGAGTGTGCATGTTTATAAAGACATAAAAGCAATG